TTTCAAAAATGCAGTAAAATACAGGGTGTTCCATTTAAAAAAACATAACTTTGATATGGTACGCTTTTCCTGGACACCCTGTATATCTCAAAATATTTTTAAAATGTAGCCGTAATCAACCTACACATACCCACTTAAACAGGTTTCTGTAACATTTGCCGTTTGGTCACTAGCGACCGAGGCGTTACTGGTGGCCCATCGTTAATATCAGCATTTTTCAAATGTTTTGCTGGTATTATAAATTAATTTATGAACTAATATTTAATATCAATAATATTTTTACTTTAAAAATTATTTCGGTTATTTGTCACAGAAATATTACTTACAATCCTTTATTACAAGACACCACGCAGGGTGTAATAAAAGCAAATACATTGTTCTGTAGGAATGGTTGAAGTAAAATTTGTTGAAACGCACGTGGGACATTCAGACGAGTTAAGGAGTAAGCGTCTATCAAAAACTGAACAGGGTATCCTTGTCCAACAATTAACTGCAGGAGTAACAAAAGAAAAAACAATGACAAATTCCCGGTTTATTGAAAACGACAAATTGCAAAGGATAAATATAATAACAATAGGAGATCTGGCATATTTAATTAGGAAATTCAATATTGACAAAAGAAGAGAGAAATGCAGATGATATGATAGCGACAGCTTTAAAAATTGAAGAGTGGAATAGGCAAGGAAAAAATAATGCATATTTATTTAAACAAATAGGTAAGTAACAAATCAGTAAAAATATATGCCTAAGGCTTTTGTGTGGTGGGCTGGTGCTGGTTGGTGGTGGCAGAATTTTGAAATACATTTTAGGTGCCAGGACTGAGATACCCAGTACCAAAGATACCCAGGACTGAGGGACGAAGATTTTGTTGTAGGTTATATGAATAGTGTCATGGAAAAAAAGCTAAAGGAATTCAAACGAGTAATTTGTATAGATGGGACTCATGGGACTAATAGAAGAAATTGGGACTTGACAGTAGTTTTAGTTAAAGATGAAAATAATATGGGTTTTCCTGTCGCATTTTTACTTTCAAATAGATTAGATCAAGTAATTCAAGAAATTTTTTTTAGTGCGTTGAAGTCAAGATTAAGAGAAAGCGTGGAGGCTGAATATATAATGAGTGACGATGACATAAAATATTACAATGCTTGGACCAAGGTTATGGAGACAGAACGAAAGCCCAGAAGATTACTTTGCACGTGGCATATTATAAAAAACTGGAATATCCAAGGAAGATCAAAATTAAAGAAACCCGAAAATAGACAAGAAATGAAGATGAAAATGAGAAATATTTTAAAGGAAGTTGATATAAAAAAATTTCTGGAGTTGAAGCAAAATTATTTTAAGCACTTGGAAGAAGAAGGAGAAAATGAATTTTTAAAATATTTGCAAAAGTTTGTTTACAATCTAAAAACACAAACCACATGAGCAAATTGTTTTTTGTTTCTAGTTACTATTTTCAAAGCGAAGAAAGAATCATGATGTGGGCTCATTGTCATAGGATAAATGCTGGTATAAATACGAATATGGCCATTGAAAGTTTAAATAAGTTATTGAAGTATAATAAAATGAATGGGCAGAGAAATCTCCGGTAGAGTAAATTCAAATTTAAAAAAGAAGTGCTATAAATTATCGTTTTAGTGTTGAAAAATTACTGGATTTGTTAGATGAACTTGTAGATGAGAAAATGTGGAAGCGAATTATAAACACAGAAAGACCTAATGCGAATAATTACCAACACAAAATAACCGTAGAAGCACACAAAAAAGCCGAACAGATGAAGGATAATGTACAATACTCAGAATTTGGAACATTCAAGGTACAATCATGTACAGTAAGTAATAAATTTTATTTAGTCTCATATAATGAAATATGTGATGAAGATTGTAGAACTTCTTATTGTAGCCAATGTAAAATTTGTATACACAGATATCTATGTGAATGCCCAGAATATGCAGTAAAATGTACAATGTGTAAACATATACATGCTGTAGTTCTGTTTGAGGGGAGAAGCGAGTCTGTTTTAGGTCTTTCAAGCAGTTCTCCGTGTTCCGAAGAAAGTAATGTGTTATATATTGATGAACCCACGACAAGCCAGATCCGATATCAAGACGATTTAACTCATTTCCTAGATGAAAACTGCAGGAATCAGAATTCTAATAAATTATTCTAATTCTAATAAGATAGGTTTCAGCAAAAAACAGATGTTTGTAGAAAAAGAAAAATCGAGAAACAATTGTATTATCCAAATAAAAAGTAAAGTATGTAGAAATTTTACAAGTACGGTAACTGTTGCATATCACGTTATGTAAAAAATATACATTTATCTAAATTCTATCAGTCATCGATCAGTAATTTTAATGTTTGTTTCGTATACTTTTATATTTCCTGGTAAATGACCCGGCTACTGTTGAGACTAGCGACTGCTTTGTGATGACCTGTGTATACATATACAAGAATCCAAATGTCAGAGTTGTTGGAATTGGAGTGCAGCAAAAAAATACATGGCTTTAAAGAGCGGAGATTCACACAGTGTCCGATCCGACAAGATTTTTATTTAATTTTGTTTTAGTTGAACGTATTTTTTTATTATATCTAATATTAAGAAAAAATTCAGTGTGAAAATAATTTTGTATTAGCAAAAAAAATAAGTTTTCCAATAAATTTTAATTTTTTAATATTTTGTGTTAGTCATATGTGTAAAAGTATCCAGATAAGCCGGTGATGTCATGTTGGTGGAACCTCAAATAGTGCTGACAGGACGGCTTACGTATCGGGAACTAGGGAGCCGAAAGCCGAGATCATTAACATTTTTAACTATGCTAGAGTACATATGCTAAAGTACATACCTTTAAGTTGTGAACTAAATATTCATAGGATATTGTTTTAGTTTGTATTTTTGATTGCTGTTCAACGAACATTTAACATATGTATGAGTTATTTTATATTATATTACGGATTAATAATTAATTATCTGAAAATATTCGTAATATTAGAATAGTCAAATCGCAAAATCAAGGTATACTCACTACGTGATACAATTTATATAATGTAATAATTCATAATGGCAAAAAAGTTTTCAACATTTTATCACAATATAAAGTTAATTAGGGTAAATATTATGTTACAGTGGCTGTATATTTAATGTGTGATTATATCCTTAATTTTAAAGAAACTAATTTGATACATTCGTTGCATACATTGAATTTATGATTCGTCTATAGGTAAGTAATTAATTAAACAAATTAGATTTATGCAACTGTAAGTGTATGCTGATTGATGAAATTGCCAAAACATAAAAGTAAGGTTAAGGGTTAAGAAAACAGGTACTTCGGTTTTCGCGCCTTGGCAATATAGACGAACGGTCCACCCCTAAAAAAATGCTTAGAAAATCAAGGTCACCGATCACGAGGAGAGGCCAGGATGAAACCGATTGTAATCGATGCATTGAGTTATTGCGAACAAAAAACCT